TTTTCTCAGTTGGAAAGTGATGTTATTACCAATTAACGGGCTGCGAACGACGAGCCAACTTTAGCGAGATAGAAATTACATTCCCGACCCAAGGTTTAACCTTAATAAAACATTTCAAGATACGTCTCACTTTATGAGCGGTACATTTGATAAGATATTAATTTTAGCGGGTGTATTTTTCATATAGTCAGTAGATGATATCAATAAGGAAGTAAATTTATGGACGTCTTAATAATACGGGTCTTTCTAACCTAATGGAAAACAGAAAGAAAATCTGGGATCTGAAGGTCACTAAAATAGACCTATGTTTAGCACTGGGTCCCATACCCATTGTAATTAACATTGATATTATTACATTACGAATCGATACAGAGTGTCTGAAAATGGGTGTAGATGAAAGTTAATTTTAAGAAATGCAACCTTATTGAAAACTATGGGGACCTGCGCGTTAGTATTCTACAAAGGTTTATGTATAAAAAAAATCCGATAACAAACTCGTTAAAAAACGTCTCAATGATTTCAACAATGATTTTGTTATGGTTAGTAAATAAGGATAAACAAGTAGCTGAAAGCAGAACTTAAAAGTAACTTATAATGTCCAAATACTCAAACGCCACTCAAGTTCAGGTCCCGCTTGAGTTAATTCTGTCACTGGAAATTCTTTGTGAGTTGAAAATAGAAAAATATTTGTTAATTTTTTTTTTCATGTCGTAAAACAATCGTATTGCAATGACAGAGATGGCACAATATTTAAAAACAAAATTGAGTAGCGTTTCAGTATTCGAGCGTAAGTGTTAGTCAACTAAACTAGTGAATTAGTAAACTATTACTAAGATATAGAAAAGTAGGTAATAAACAGTCAATCAAGTTTCAAGAAGCTGACAAAGCATCATAAATGAAATTAAACAATAGTGAGAAATAAGGCTAGTTCGCATTATGCAAGAGTTAGTGTTAACTAAGCTTTCTGTCAATACTATCTACTAAGTATTTCCAGTATTTTAAAGGCAGTCTATAAGGTGCCTAGACAACCCCAATCAAGCAACCACAGTTATAATAATAATTATTGTTGATGTGTGATCAATAAAAATAAATTAATAATGTATTTTTGAAGATAACATCGATGTTATTATTTATGCAATGTATATATTTTAATCGGTGACGAAAATTGTGATGACTAATAAGGCACTATCTAGACCCCCTAACAGTAAACGAGACACTGCCACCAACAAAGAAACTAAAGTGCACATTAACACTTGTGCATCACTATATTAGGAGCTATATTAGCCAGTTGTCAGACCTTGTCTCAATTAAAGTGTTATAAAGCAATGTATTCATAATCCAGTTTTCCACATGCAGGTTAACAATCAAGTGAAATAGTCATTGAAATAACAATACAGTTGCGAAACATTACTAGAACTATATTATGTTATTACCTGACTAAGTTAAAACATCAATACCTATATCTGATATAATAATTATAAAGTATGCTTACCTCTTTCTATAGCCTCATTTACCACTTGTTTAATAGTGGCAATGTTAAATGCCGGGTTGAACCTGAAAAAAAAACCATTTTGTAAATACAATCTCATTTAACTCGTCGAGTACCGTCATTATAGACACAATTATAGAACAATAGGTTGCGGTCACCGGTGACCGCTTGGTGTTTGACAGTTTAAAGCACCTAGTCAAAAGTGCAGCTAGTTGCATGTTTCATAACACAGATTAGTGTGAACACAAATAAATTTTATGCGTAAATTATAATCACTGCTAGTATTTTGATTTGTGTTGGTTTCGGTTGGCATAGTCTACACTGCAAGTTACAAAAAGTGTCACAGGATAAATTCTAAATTATTATGTTAACTAGCTTCTCTCATGGGATAAAAAAGTACGTCTACGCCTACGTCTTATTCCAGACCATAACCTACCCCTATTCCAAATCTTACCATCATTTCTTCAGCCATTTTGTCGTGATTGAATAAGAAACATACACAAAAGGACACAAATTTTCACATTTATAATTTCTTTCTATCTTTTAAAAACGTTGCCCCACTCTAGGATTTTCTCCTGTATCGTGGGTGCGTTTACAAACATACAAGTTTACATACACATGACACCCAGACCCGGAACAACAATCAGTGGATTACACAAAGAGTTCTTCCGTACGGGAATCAAACCAGCGACACATTGCGTGCAGCCAATTGCCTAGCCACTGCACCAACCATGCAGTCAAATAAATAGTAAGATTAATAAAACAAACCCTAACCACACAGTAACTAACATACTCTAAATTTCATATTAACATAAACCTATTAACTCCACTAATTACATTTAAAAACCATGGATTTATATAGTAATACTTCGAATCTATATCCAATTTGATAAATGCTAATGAAGCAAAATTATTGCAGAATTATCAGTATAATAGCATGATTATTAGCAGAGTTCAGAGGTGTATATGAATGTATGAGATTGACAATTGATAGCTTCAGGTTTACTCGGGATCAATTAGAATCAATTGCTGTACTGATTCACTTCATAGAGCACAACTGAAAATAGTGTGTGATATTTGCATACTGCGCAAAGTGCATAGCTTTGATTGTTTATTTAGCAGCATAGATTATAAAATTATGTATAAACGTTTATAATTATTTTTTAATAATATTCCACACACTTTAAACTGTACTACTAGTATCATATAAAATAAATTATAGATGTTTCGGAGAAAAGTTAGGAGAGATACAGTCCACAGATTTTTAACAAACTTGATATTTTTATTATTTAAAACAACTGTTTTAACAATACCACAAGTATACAATAACTCTAAAGATACCATTTCAAACTTTATTCAAGTGTAAATAAGATTTAAAGTAAAGATAACTATAGAACAGATAATTTACCTGTTCATTATCTTCAAATTAAACTAGACAGATCTGTGGTAGAGTTACTTGTTCAGAGCCTGAGTAGGTCACAATGACCTCATGGTGTGCCCTTTACCTGACATGCAACCAAGGCTTTGTTTACTCAAACAATACCTTTATGTAACAGCATTGTGTACTTATAAAATACATTCATATGACCTATTATGAATAGTGCTGTTTAAAATATGATGTAATTAATATAGAAGTTGTAATTGGAGTTGGAATCTACTTGTGTTTGCATGTATTAAAGGATTATTTCTGATATTTATATAGATGGTTTAATTGGGGTTAAATTAAATTCTTGTAGGGCTTATAATCGGTAGAAAGTGAATATTACATTAATATTATGTGCTTAAGTCTGCAAATTAATGATGTGATGGTGTGTCCAAACCATCTATGACAACTATGAAATTGCCGGTTGAAAGGCTGAATACTAATTATGGTCTCTTCCATAAATCCCAGTAGGGATTTTATGGTTGACAAGCTAATTTTAATGTTTTTTTTTTTTTGTTTAGACATAAGTTTTCAGGCAAGTCTAATTAGTGTTTGCCAATTTTTAAGAAAATCCTCTTACTGTCATATTATAAGATATTCTATTTTGCCTAATAAGAATCTCCTGTTCACTTTATTTTAATTGTATCCATGTAAGTGAAAGTGATGGATAGCTTGGAATTGTTTAGCTTTATTTATGTATATAAATAGATAAGTTAAGTATAGCTCTAATTTTGAATATTATCTAAGGATTATCTTTTAAGTCTAAAGAATGGTAAAATGGTCAAATATATAACATATTCAAAACAAACATCTGTATCTGCAGGTAATTGGAACATTCTCTACATGAATACCTACTTTAAAAGTCGTCTTTATTCTTACAAAATATAAACAATGAGATCATATCCATCACTTCAAACAAGAATGAAATATTACCATTAAATATTGTACAACTGTATATTAACCATATTTTTACACTGTTTTAAAGTATTCAAGTGTAAACATGTCTAACATATTAGCCGTGCAATCTGCACAAATCTTAAAACAGGAAATTACACCAGTTTAATGTTCGTCTCTAACCTATTTGCTAAGAAAAGTAATAAACAACAAAATTTACCCGGATTCAGAGCCGTTCATCTTGTCTGTTCTATCAATTCTTTACACCCAACGACAGAATAACTTTCTTGCGGTTCACGAACTCAGGTAGTTATCACGGGGCCAGAGCCAGGTGTGAAGAACGGGAGGTCAAAAACCAGTCAAACGAAAAACCACTCTGATACAAAAACTATCACTGGAATACTCTTAAAATCATAACGTAAGGAACAAAAAAGGAATTTACACGTATTTAGTTAGGTCTGCGAACATTTTATTTCGTCACAAACCATAGAAATGCAGGTGAAATCGCATGCCACCTTTGACTAACTTCTGTCATATTTTCACTTCTAATTAAAACTCAAATGCAACATTTGTTCATTTTTATGTTCACTTATTATCACAGAAAAAATGTTTTGTCGAAACTTATCGCTTTATTATATTAATTACAAAGAAATAATACAATTGCCAGCTGACATTTCCGTGGTGCGTTGCAAGAAATTCAACATGGCCGCCATGACTCGCACATGACGTTTGCTTAATTTTCAATCAAATAACTTTCCTTTATTTAATTCTATAATTTCACGAAAAAATTTTGTTGTATTATATAAGGAAAATATTGTGTGTAATATATGTAGCAATAAATACTAACTTAAGTTATTTATAACTACATTAAAGATAATTCTAGTGGTAGAAGCTGGCAACCTGTGAATTCTGAACGAACGTTTGCTACGTGGAAAACCTTTTTGGAAAACGGAAAACTATTTCCGTTCTGTAACCAACACTGTTCATGATTGACATGTTTACACTCTTCAACTTATTCAACAGATTTCATGAGGCCTTATCATGGCTAATTGTTTTTTTAGCACTATCAGCTATCAGTTATAAAAAATCAGCAATTTGTACCTACCTTCTATTTTGTTCTGGCGGCAATACACTCCAATCAACTTCATACATAGGATATGCCATAATTAAAATTTAAAAACAACACTATGAAAATTCGTTAAAATTGTTTTAATAAAAACATTTCACTAACTATGCCACAATATTCCACGACGGTGTAAACTGTACTGTTATCAGAAGTGTTTTATCAGGTGCAGGTACTCCTCAAATATCCAGTCACAACGTATCTCTTATCAAAGGTACAATTTATCACTGAAAAAGGATAGCAATACAGCACCAGTTCTAGTAATGTTTTATTCTTAAATGTCAATACTGTATGTACAAAACAATGGGCCGTACGAGTCACATCATTATCTTAATAGGAAAACTAATTATTATTCATTGTATCGGTAGTGTCGTTCGGTCGGGCGTAAGACATATTATACATGCACCGGGTGTAGGTGTCGCCTTTATAAGTTATCGTCGTGGTTGCGCGGCGGCCGATCGACGCTGTTTCGCTTTATGCAGTCCACAAGCCATCTGATGCCTTCGTCGACCCCATCTCTGCAAATATAATAATAAATTGGGAATTAAATCATTAACCAATATACATTTAAACACAACTTTTTCCGGTTCACTGTAAATTGAGCCTTAATGACGGATTTAATTGCAAAGTATCATTATTATTATATTGTCTTTTCAAAACTAAGTATTATAGTCGCGTAACTACTTAGCGTAACATATAAAAATTGTTTTTTTTAAATGATACGAATTATTTTTTATTAGTCGAACTATTACAAAGTTTTACTGGCTGACTGAATATTATTATCTATTTCAAATTAATGTTCTATTACCTCATATTATATATTATCAGTTAAACAATTTCTGACGCAATTATTTGACAAAATGTCGTCCATCTAAAATGAGACAGTGTGCATGAGCTTTAAAAGGCTCTCAGAGCTAATTGCACTTGTCATTAAGCGCCATAAATAAACTATTTCAAGTAATTAATAAAATTGGAAATAATTAAGAGACAAAGGTTTTGTTATGAAAGACTTTTCTTTAAAATACGAATTAAGAATTGTCATTTCTTTTTCTTTTAGTAACATTCATGTTTATTATCAATCAATCAATACATAGTATAAAACAAAGTCGCTTTCGCTGTATGTCCGTATGTATGCTTAGATCTTTAAAACTACGCAACGGATTATTGGGTTTTTAAAAAAAAATAAATTGTCATTTCTTTTTCTTTTAGTAACATTCATGTTTATTATCAATCAATCAATACATAGTATAAAACAAAGTCGCTTTCGCTGTATGTCCGTATGTATGCTTAGATCTTTAAAACTACGCAACGGATTTTGATGCGGTTTTTTTTAATAGATAGAGTGATTCTTAAGGAAGGTTTGTATGTATGATACATGCATATTGCACCCGTGCGAAGCCGGGGCGGGTCGCTAGTAAATTATAATTTATAGTTCAAAGCAATGACTGCCTAGTTGGCCGAGTGGTCGCAAGTGCGACTGCCAGGCAAGGGGTCTCGGGTTCGATTCCCGGGTCGGGCAAAGTATTATTGGGTTTTTAAAAAAAAATTCAGTAGTAGCACGGAGTTTGGAATTGTGCCCGGTATATGGCAATAGGCTCACCCCCTATTACATGGGAGTCATAACATAAATAGTGAAAAGTGGGTGTTAAATGTAACACCCACTTTTAAATACACACTTACCCCTTTCAAAGGTACACATTATTTTGCCTACCCTTTCGGGAATAAAAGGCGTGATCTTATGTTATGTTTCAAAGCATTCTGGTGCACAAATTATAACAGCAAATTTTTTATTTTAAATATTATACAGGTAAATATTAAACTCGTCATTGGCCTAATTGGTAGATATTAATGAATCAATCATTCTTAGTTGTAGCATTGAAGCTGGAATGATCCAGAGTATATGGTATTGAGTCCGTTTCCTGTGAAATGGGACTCATAACATAACTGCATAGTGAAAAGTATAACTGAATTAAATTGAACGATCTCGGGGACTAAAATACAAAATGTTATTTCAGCATTGTTACCCATTAAGAGCAGAAATGGCCATCAGCATAATATCTCTTGCACCGATGAGGTGTGCATTCTGGTTGAATATTGGCTTTACGGTGTGAACCCCCATGCAGTCTGGAATGTCTTGTTTATTGGCTAGTACCAGCAACGGTACACCGGACAAGTGTTCGGAAGCTATCATTCTATCTGTAACATAAAATAAAAGAAGCAATTTAAAAAAATTGAATAAGGAACAACAATAACATTTTTAACTGTAATAATTTGTTTGAATTCTGTAGACTTCAAACAAAATTATACTTATATTATGTCAATATATGGCGCCACTTCCGAATAATTTCCCAATGGCGCTTTTTTTTTATATTAAATGGGACTGAAGTTTGACCACTATCTCGCCCAGTGGCGCTAATGGAGTCGAAGATGTGTTCGTCCAATTATTGCAATGCACTGTATTTAAGGTCCAATAGTCTGACATTAGCTAATTCTCTATTGGACAAATAGAGTACACACTACATTAGCAGCACCTGGTGAGTAGTGGCCCTGATTCTGAGATGATAGGTATTTTATTTAAAATTTATTTAGTAGCTTATGACCGCGACTTCGTACGCACAATCTCATTTTCTCCCGTTCTCGTAGGATTTACAAGATTCGGATTTTTTTCTGTCGTAAGAACCTTCTCCTACTAATAACAAATACAACAAATAAGAATTAGTGAAATCGGTCCAGCCACTCACACGTGATGCCGTGACCAAGGGAAAAAGGAATTTATTTTTATATATTAGATTATTGTAAATTGTAATCAATTGCAAATAACTAATTCTCATTTTATCACAAAAAGGTAAAATTAAGCTACATTGAAATTTGTAACAAACAGGAAATACGGTTATCATTAATCTAAACATGGTTGAGGTTTTAACTTGATAACCAATTTGCTAATTAAAATCAACCAACCCTGTAAAATTTGAACCTTATTGTTATTAAAATAAGTACCTTATGGTGACAAAGTAGTCTTAAATCGGGAATTATATCAAAAGGCATTAAGACTGTTATATAAGTCTAAATAATATGAGACAATATTAACTTGATCTTTAAAAATATTTTCTAGCTAAATTATGTATTAAATCAAATAAAAAGATACTGACCAAAGGTTTCTTTAGATTCAGATATTCTATCTCTGTCAGACGAGTCTACTATGTATATAACAGCGTGGCACTCTGCATAGTACTGGAAAAAAGAAAAAAAAAACAATTATTTACATAGGTAGGTACAACTTACATTAAGCAAAAAAAAACACAAAAATTTATACAATCGCATGTATGGTATGGCCATAAATTCCAAATAACTGCATCAACATTGAATTTTATTTTTTAATTTCTGAAATTCATATTACATCTTACAATTGAAAAAAATATTATCGTCGATAGTCAAGCTCAAAAAAAATTACTAAAATACCTACAACTGACCTTGGAAAACAGAATGGTCAAATTAAATGAGATCTACAAATTAATATAACATGTATAATTATGAATCGGTGAATTATGAAGGAGATTAGACATAAACTCTCATTACTTTTGTAATAAACATTAAACAGTCAATAGGTACTCAAACATAACAATTAACATCTCCTATAAAACATGCAGAAGATTGTTTTGAAGATATTTTTTTTTAAGGGGGAAAATCATCGAATGGCTGCTCCCGCCTATGTGAGGCGGGAGGGATTGTCAGACTCTTACTGACTAAAAACCACCCCGTTCCTTCTGCACGTCGAGTGGGAGCCTCGGTTACCCGTTAGGTTCTCCGCAACATTTTGAAGGTATAGGAATAGGTTCTGGATATATACTTTGTCCCAAAGACTCTGCAACTCCTGCTGTCCTCCGAGGTCCCAAAAATTAAGTCTTACGCCATCTACATCAATTTTGCCTATGTTTAAGCCAACAGTGGTTGTTATCCTGTTTGGATTCATTGCCTTATATTTCTTCGTAAATTTTGTTTTTGTAGCCTCCAGATACGTCTGCAAATACCACATATACATTATTCACTAGTCAAACTAAATCAAAACTAGTAATTTGTAAAACTTTCAATATTTATAATACGCTTTTATGTACCGTTTTGCCAGCATTGTCGAGACCTAATATTAACACACAGTATTCGTCTTTTTGCACCAGATATTTGTAAAAACCATGTAATAATGTATACATTTTAATACATTTTACGATGTATTTTATCTGCTAAAAATATTTACATCAAAACTCAAAATAAATAGCAGATTTCATGAAATGAAATGTCAAATGAAATGAAAAAGTGACATCTGTCAAAATTGATTTTGACAGATCAGTTGTCTCGTTCTACATTATGAAAAATATAAAAGATAGAGAAGAACATTGCTAAAGAACTGTTTATGTACTATCAAGTTTTTTGGAACGTCGCCGACTGTTGTCGTTACACATTTACGTCAAAATTGACGTCATGTCAAAAACATGTGAAATTATTTCGTTTTGAAATTACAACTTCATACACCCAGTTGCTACAACCAACCAACCAATCAACAACAGGAAAATAATGCCGATATAAATATACGTAGAATATTGCCTGGAATGAGAATACTTGAGTGAATAATTTTTCAACAATAACATAAATGTACGTTTTAAACAATCTAGTATGCTAAATTAAGACTGCCAGAGAGAGAGACTACTTAACAAGAGGTCTCAGATTTGATTCTCGAATCCTACAAAGTATTGTGAACCTAACTAAATACCACCCAATCACCCAACCCACTATGGGACATTTCCAGTTTGTGAACTACCTATTTATCATACATTATCATTTTTTTTTCTTCGTAGCGTATGGCACTATGCTAACCGTCTATGATCTATTTACGAAGGTAATCTAAATTTTGGTCTAAGTTAGTCTAGTCTAGTGTGTTGCATACATAAATATATTATATAGTAAGTATTATTACACAGGACTCTTAAGCCTCATCAACAGAGACAAGGTGCGTTGGGTGTGCGTAAAGAAAGAAGAAACATTACCTTTTGACAAAGAGTTATAGTGCCTAAATATTTCAAAACTCTTTGGTCAACATCAAAGAGTATAAATATAGGAACAGGGGAAGTCAAAACCTTGTCACTTCATGACATAATGTCGTTTTTATTTTGTCTTCATTCGACACAAAGAGTAAATAATAAGTTTAAGGGAAATTCGACAGTTCGTGAGGGATTCAGTTGAAACCTGTATACGTATTTTGATAGATAGACGTGAAGTAAATACAAAATGGGTCCCAAAAGCGATTCCACTCGGACAAAAAGTAAAACCAAAAGCAAAATAAGTGCATCAGTGTCAACTGATCCAACATTACTATTAGAATCCAATGAAAGTTTGCATGCACCACGGTGTATTAGTTTATCTATGGTTTTACAAGGTGCTTCGCATGTACCAGGAGAATACCATTTTTTGGCTTTGTTTAATGGATCAACACTGGTGGAAACAAAATGGCAGGATAACGAGACTATAATGTTCATTACTATGCCGATTAACATTAACGACCCACATGGTCAAAACATTGTAGCAAATTCCCCTTTATTCCTTCTTATGCGTATCACTGGAGGAAAACCGTCTAAAGAACCAGATCCTTTAATTCATCCAGATAACCGTTATGGTGCTAGCGTAGATTTATTTCCACTTCTTTTGGGGGAGCAGACAATTTTTGTTACTTCTAATTTAGTCACAATATCAACGGGCGAAATCTCCTCATATTCAGTTGTAGTTCGCGCCATTTCACCAGGGATAATAGATGAAACTGTGGTGCCTTTGACGATGACTATGATCTCAGCTCATTGCCTGCCAACAGCGAAAGATGGTACTGTTTATATAAGTGCTATTGGGTTAAATGGACTACACAAACCAAAGGCAATGCCTTTTAATATGTCACTAAGTTCTGCCGGTGCACAGAAAATTGTATTCGCAAATGTTAGCACTGGCGGTCCTGCTGCCGAAACAGCAATGAACGTTCACACTGACGATATATTCATGCCAAGTGATATAAAAATCCGAGAGCATAAAAATTGTCGACATGCTTACTGGAACGCTATGAAACGAGTGTTAGTGGATCCAGAACAATTGTATGCCAGACTATCTTCACCGTTCACACTTGAGGTAGCAGCAGTGCCGAGGTTTGGAAAGGTAGAAGTCCGAGGAAGATATTTGGCATCGGTTGATGCCAAAGTGCTGTTGGAATCAGGTCAGACAGGTGTAACAACTTGTTCAAAGCTCAAATTGTTTACTGAAACTAATAAATTCGAAAGTGCCTGTAATCTTCTAGACCTTCCAGCTACGAGTGCGAAAGCTAGTGTTCGTGAAGGTGAACATGAAGTATTAGACGAATACGGACATAATAGTTATATTGTAATACGATTCGATTTACCCGAGTCTTTAGTACCAAAGAGTAAATTAGATAACTTATATGACATAATCGGATTTTCTCTACCTAAAGATGCTAACATCCCGAAAGATCACTCCGATTCTGACATTGTTGGTGTCGATACTATTGTTGACGCTAGGACCATAAGCAAAGAAGCAGGTGCTCTAGCTGTCCACAAAGAACTAAGTGCATTAGCTTGTAAAGGTGTGATTCAAATGAACCAGGGCATAAAGAAAACTGCCGCAAATCGGTTATTAATGCGTGTACGAGCAGTGCTCAAAAACTTCCCACCCGGAAATTGTTCTTATCTTGATTGGCAAGATACAGTAACTGCTCAGCATGCCGCATGTAGACGTGCCGTCACCGCATCTTTTGCTCCTCAACCTCCACCACTTCGTCTTCCGAGTAATATTGCTGCAGCGAGATGTCGAATCGCAGGAGATAATAGAATTGCTGAAATTCACAACGAAACAAATTATAAAATCATGGGAAGACATCCAAGAACTTTAATAACTAAAACATTACGTTGTTTAGAAGAAGGCAAGGATGAAGATGCTAAGAATTATTTGCTTGAAGCTTTAAGTAGCCAAACCAGAAATAGGTATTTATTGTGGATGTATGGAGGCTTACAATTTGATGGAAAAGATGAGGGCTCGGTAATAGCTGGCGCTGCTCTTCGTATCGCTGTCAAAGGCGATTATTCAGATGGAACTGCTAATTCAATTGGGTGGGCGGCTCTACATGCTTTCCATCACGCCAATGGAAATGAGTATGCAGCGTTTATATCTGCGAAAAAAATGAGAAAAGCTTTTTCGCTACCCTTGGAATGGGATAAAATTTTAGCTCGATGGACCGAAACAAGCGGAGAGGAAGAAATATATTGGCTGCCAACTGTCATAGCAACTGATAATCCTATTCTGATAGCAGCTGCATTTTTTCTTTGTCTTCGATGCTATAGATTTACGGAAGCATTATTACAATGTGTAGACTCGGATTGTGCAAGCAGTGGAAGTTATACTTTTCAATGTCAAATTACTCCTGACGTGTATTATTTACGGGCTGCTGCTATGGTTTTGCAGCGAAAATTGGAAGCTGCGATGAAAATAATAAGAGAAGGAATAAATAAATTTGGGCCAACACCTGTTATGTCTCAAATGCGTGCAACTTGTATGACTCGTATTCGTAACTGGGATCGTGATTGTGAGATAGCAATCCATCAAGCAGAAAATGCAGGATCTGAATTGTGTTCTTCGCTTTTGTATGTTGCATCTTTGAAGAGCTTTAAACTAAATCCTATGGTAGCCTTGCAAAGGGCGGCTCGAGCTCATAGAGCGTCACCATCTGGTCATACTGCTCTTTTAATTGGTCGTATATATGCAGCTATGGGTAAAGTTTGGCTCGCTGAACGATGGCTGGCCGCCGCTGTTAACACCGAACCCTTGTTGGCGGATGGTTGGGCGATGTTGGCTATATTGGCTATGTACGACTTAGATTTAAACAAAGCAAGAGTTATGTTACGTACAGCAAAGCAAGTAGGTCCACTGAGTCCGGACATTGATAAGGAACTAACAAATGTTATGGAATTGGTGGGATTAGAAAAAATGTCTGACTATCTAGTGAAAAATCTGTGTCTATGTGATTATATCTAAAACTTTGATTTAAAATTTGTTTATTTTGAAATTATCCTTATTGAGGATATTGTGGTCAGCATCATTATGAAAGGACCAGCTACCTGCCGAAGATACTTTTTTGGTATTAAACCAATTTAACAAGCCGGTGGTGCTGTTGTCTCTGCCTGGCATATATAGAAGAAGTATCTATTTTTTTTAGTTAATTTCAATAATTAAACTAGACCTATAAATTGTGCTTATAATTGAGTATTTCATTAAATTATGTTTACAACTTTACAACCAAGTTCTTTCATTACTACAACGAAACTGCTAAATGTACCTATATGTAAATCAAGCGGATTAGGTTTTTTAAATCTACTACGTATTTATTAGGCACTAAAGGTGTCACTTGAAAAACCCAACAAACCGAAGTAAAACAATCATGCACCTATTATTATTATTAGTATTTTAGGGCGCACAATGTCGGTGGCCAACAAGTGTCAACTGGTTATTTATAACCACTACACCTCGTTGCAGAACGTAAACTTGTGCTATTTAGCTATCTCGGTCCCAAAGTAGGTTAGATTACAACAACAGTTTTATACTGTTATCATGATAAGCCGATAGTGGCACATCGACATCAATATGATGTCATTTTCTAAGAAGCTTTAGATTCTTCGTCAGTTAAAAGCGACGCGCCCTTTTCTATTTAAAACAAAATAAACTGATAAGTTGCGTCCGAAAGATAAAAATGTCGAATGTTTAATTTCGTTTCGTACAGTTAGCGGTGTCGTGCTTGCATCACTCGAGTCGTGCGGTGCGACCGCTGTACACAAACATTCCCTGTGCGGAACGAGCGCTCTTTGTTTTGAATCAAGTTTCAAACAAGATTTCTGACATGTGAACACACAAAATCACAATGGGACTCTCGACGAACTGCTGGAAATATCTGGTTCTAATCTTCAATGTGTTATTCGCAGTGAGTATTATATATTTTTTAAGAAAACATTTGTTTATTTCCTGGAATTGTGCTGACCCACCAAATATCACCTTTGTTGTCATAACAACTATGTTAAAACATGCAAGTTACGGTCAATAAATTCAACAATATTCAATTTTAATTGTATAATCCCGTAACTGTTCGTAGAATAGAGCAATAATAGTGCTGACACACATTTTATTCAATGCTATAATTGCAGAGACTTTTTCTTACGAGTGCATTGCACGATCAATAAAGATAATCCAACGAATTCA